CAGAGCTACACTAACTGCCTTCAGTGTGTGAACACTTGTTACCACTGGTCCATGATGAAATAAGCCACAGAAATGGACAGTAAGCATTTAGAAACTTGGACGGCAATTTGACAAAGTAATTTTACGTTTGTTGAATCTGATAATAAGTAATATGGGCTTGTATTTTGTACGTTATTTTTTATATCTTTTTTCCCCTCAGTAATTCATTTCTAGTTTACTTCCTCAATGTATTAGTCCATGGTCAATTGAAAAAAACCCCAGCGCCTCTCTGAGATGCTCTGACCAAGAGCATCCCCCCCGTACCCCACCCCCGTCCTTAGAAGAAAAATGAAACCGTGCTCCTCCTGGCCCAGCTCAGACGACACTTCCTTTGTGAGTTTCCCCTAACTGTCCAGCTTAGACATCACTTGCGTATTTGCCTCCATACTCACAGCACTTTGTTTGAAACTTTTCTTGGCATTGACCATGCTGTGTCTTCTGTCACTTTAGTGTCCTCTCCTTTGCATTGGTTATTGAAGGCAAGAACTCTTAGGCAAAATATTCAATAAATGTCCATTCAATGAAACACAATTAGTAGAGATTAAATAAAAGAAATTGGGAAATGTTTTCCAATCTTTACAGATGAGCAAAGTGGGTGCTCAGAATAAAGTCAGGTTCTTTGCCCAGCACCTGCCTGTCTCTTGTCCCTGGGTCCTTGTTTGCCTGTCACCCTGGGTGGTATCCTGCTCACGCCGGCGACCACAGTGTCCTGCCTTTGTCTATGCTGTGTCCGCCGCTGGGGCACTGCTCCCCACTTCTCTGTCTGGTTGAGACTCGTGTGTCCTTCACGTCTTAGCTCATGTATCCCTTCCTTCAAATATCCTAGACGCTCTTCCCTCTGGACTTCCTCCGTTTCCTATGCATCCCCTCCACCCAGGCACCTACCGTGTTAAATGGAACTGATCTGGTTAGGTGCCCGTTTTCCCACCCCGAGACTGTAACCTTCCCGAGGTCAGGGACAGTATCTTATTAACCTTTGTGCCCTCAGTACCAAGTGTATGTCGCATGTCAGTGTTCAGAAACACCTGTTATCCAAACACCACCTCAGTTTTGAAGCACTAAAGGGAAAATCAGAAACATAATTGTTGGTTCATGGAGCTATCATGCCAGCCAAAACAGTCAGAGAAAGGCTAATTCCGTTTAGCCTGAGGATGAAATTGCTGATTGTCGATCAGCAAAACGCTGGACAGGAGTGATTGAAATTGGTGGCATTTTGTAGGAATGGATATTTTCTTTTGTTAGGGAATGCTGGACTCAGAGACCCAGGTTCTGAACCAAGTGTGACTGAAGTTATTATAGATTCTACTGTTTTAAGGAGAAAAGTCTTGCTGCTGAGCCATAAAAGGTCCGTAACCAGGACTCTATGAGATTCACCTAGAATCCAGCCAAGGTCACCAGTGAGCATGTCCTTAATTGAGGAGAATGACACGTGCTGCGACAGAGGCACATGGTGAAGTGACAGTGACACGAATGGTAGCATTTCCTGATCTTCAAATCGCCGTCCAGTTACCCGGAATCCATGAGTGGGCCTGAACTTGTGCTTTGGGAGGTCACCTCAGTGACGATCTGCTAGTTCCTGGCCAGACTGTGTGCTGTTCTCCAAGGAAACGCCCATGGTTACTGGGATTACACGGCAAAAGAGTTGGAAGTTATTAGTCAATCAGAGACGCACAGGACTGGCAGAAGAAAGATGGCAGAAAGGGACTAAATAAAAACTTTCTCACTTTGGTCACAATCTGAAGATTCCTATTCCACACGAGACCACATCCGTCCTAACCAGGAGCTGTGTTTTCATCTCTGTGCTTATCTCAGGACGTTGAGGACTAGATGGCCCACTGAGAGTGACACCTCCATGGATTAACAATAAAATCACTTGAAGATGCTGTGTTGGCATTTGGATCGTGACACAGACTGTGTTACGAGCATATGTAAGAATTATACTTGTTTCAGAACTGCAGGGCTGGAAGAGGATAACAGAGACCTGGCAGGTTACAGGGACCTGAGCTTTGGGTTCAGACGCTCGCTTCACGAGCCACATGACCCAGGACAAGTTACGCCATCTTTCTAATCTTCAGATCCCACTTATAACGCGGGAACAAAACATCTATATTTCATAAGGTTGTGAGAATTGAGATAACCGAAGTGTTTCAGTTGCCTCATCTATCCAAGGTAGAAAGTACTTACTGGTTATTTTAAGAATTAAACAGCACAATGAGTGTACAGTTCTTGTCTGGGTGCCTGGCTTGCTGTCCAGCCTGATGAATACGAGCCAATACAATGAAAAGGATAATGGAGCTAATTCTTCTGCAGAGAAGCTATCTGCTAGGCACTGTTTTAAATGGCTCCATGCATCATCTGAGTTCATCTTCCTAACGGCTCTCTTCTCTGCCATTCCCATTTTGCAGAACCCAGGCTGTAAGGCTCCAGGGCTGGTGCTATTAGCCAAGAAGCAATGATGATGATGATGATGATGATGATGATGATGATGATGATATGTAAGGCCTGGCATGCAGCAATTGCTCAGTAAATGCCTGCTATTATTAAAATGCTGGCATTATTTGTAAAGGTTTTAGAGATGAAGGTCTACATCAATTTGAGGCACTCTTTCAAGAGTAAATCACGTTTATTCCCTTTCTTATATCTTAAAACTCTTTCTTGGTATTATTTAAACCTAATTGTTATTTTTCAGATTTCTAGGAAAAAAGGGAATAAAAACCTTTCTGAAATCATTACTCTTTGGAGACTATTTGGAAGGTTATTAACCCCAATCCCATTTTAGATTTTTTATAGGTGCCAATTTCTTGTTTTCTACCTATTTAATCCTATCTGTCCTTTTCCTTGAGGCCGTCACAGTTTCCTTTCATTTCTCTATTTGAACGCTGAAAGCAAAGCTGGACTTCTTTCTGACAGTGGTCTGAGTACTGTGGTGTTTAGCACAGTCATTCCTGGGCGCTAAGGCTCATTCTAACGCAGGCTTATGTTCTGTTCTACAGCAAGAAGTCACAGGAGTAGGTCTGACTTCTCTTCCTTTGGCTGCTTTTGTAAATGCAATCATTTACTTAAAAGGGTTCATCTAAGGATGATATGTGATGGTGCTTGTGAAAGTAACTAGCACGGTGCCCCATCGCTAACAGTCGAGACACTAATACCAGACGAGGACTCTGATCCCCTCAATTAAAGATGTGTCCTGTACCCCTCTCTCGTGCTGTGCGTCCACAGGGTGCAACCTGGGGGTTTTTTGCATGTTCTCACGGCACCCAGGGCCATCCACAATCTGGTCCCCACGACTGCCAGCCTTGTCCCGGCCGTGGTCCCCCACCACGTACTGCTCTCCTCAACTATGCTGAGTAATGAGCACTTGTACACACTGTGTCCTGTGTCTGGAATGTCCTGACTCTCTGAGCACCTGGGAAAGTCCTCAGAACTTTTCAAGAGTGAACTCGAGCGTCACATTCTTCGTGAAGCCTTGCCTCACCCGTCCCATACACCATGCGCACACTTCTCCACAGAACTTGAGAACCTTTGCTTCTTGGTCTTCCTTGAGTTCCTTCTTTGAGGGCAGGGGTGACATTTTAGTTTTCTCTCCCTAATGCCTGGTGTGCATCCAGGACTGAAGACATGGATGGGTGAGCGATGGAACCATAGTCATTCTCCCGTCTTAGCACGAGCACCGCCTCCCGTCACCCTCACGTCCTGGGAACCGTCCTTTGGCTCTGAGGCACCTGTTGTCTTGCCCGGGAGCTCGGAGCCCACCCAGCAGTACTTAGGGCAATAAGCTCTTGTTAAGTGAGTGACTGTAGGAGAAAATCCAGCTATTCGCTTGTTCACACAGTTTATATAAAATCTTAGGCTGTCTTATCCTCAACAACTGTATATGGATTTCTTTAAAAAGCAAAAGACTTAATTCTTACATTCCCCAGATTTTGAAATTAGGAACTCAGGTCATTATAAAGATCTTTTCTCTTTTTTTTCCTCTTGAAAATGACAGAATTTCCCTAATCTCCAGATGCAGTTTAGATCTTTAAAAAAGTGGGGCTTTCCCACAGTTTTGGGTTAAGGTGGTAGATGAAAGCTGCATCAGATAACTTCTTGCCCCCAATACTTAGCAAATAAAAACAAAAAACTCCCCCCAAAAGAGTAATTACAAACAAGAACCAAAGAGGGAAAGGGTGTAACTGAAGGTAATCTAACACTTCATGGGAAAGGCACGGAAGATTCCAGAACAGAGTGGGGAGCCCAGCACCGCCTGGCTCCTAAGCCTGTCCTTTCTCCACTGAAAGGAGGTCTCTCTCTCTCTCTTTCTCTCTCTCTCTCTCTCTCTCTGTCTGCCTCCCCCACTCTGCAAAAATAATCTTACTTCATTTGTGATTTTAGGGAATACCTAGCCCTTCCTTAGTTGTCTGTGCAAATCGGCCAGAATACGATTTCAAATGTAAAATTTCCAAATCACAAGCTTTGCTTAGGAAATACGGAAGCATCATAATCAATATGTTTAGGGGCAATAGCAATATTAACTGGTGTAGAGGCGACCAGTCTGTGAAACTGCAAAAATGTAGGCGACAGAGGGGCTGGGGCGGGGCGAGGGCGCGGGAGGAGGGGATGCCGGGGCACAGCTGGGGTGATCCAAAGTGCTCCTGTGTCCCTCCAGTCAATGACAGAAATACGATTTCTAGGACTAGAGTTCTGCGTGTGAATCTCTAGTTGTGGTAGGGCCCATGTGGAGAATCGGGGAGTATGGTGTCTTCTAGGGCTGCTGGTCAAAGTACTACTTCCTGGACAGGAGGAAAGGGAGGCCAAGTCTTTTTCCCTGGAGAACTCAGCTAAGAAAGCCATGGAGTGGCCCACAGTTTTATGCAAACATCTTGGCATTGATCCATGTTTTCTGAGTGGCTGGGGAGGAATCGCATAACGTTATAGCTTTGGACCCAGATTATTTTCTGGGTCCATACATGGGGGATTACCTGTAAATTATCCAGGATGATTCGGAGGGACTGCACCTGCCTTCGAACAGCACCTGAAAACTTTTCATAGGTGGCGGCATCATAGTCACTCATTTGGATCTCCTTTAGCCTGAAATCAAAGGAGGCAAAAAAGACAACAGCTGAAATCATGTACATGTGGGTCTTTTCATTCCATTTTGTTCATCTGCTGCTAGAACTGGAGCAAAGTCCCGGTAACTTGGGTTGCTGAGGAGAAAAGGCAAGGGGGGATGTCTCCAGCCAGGTGTTTCAAAGGAGGGGAGAGTCCAGTGGTATGCTGGTGGTACATGGTTAACAAGCTGCCCTCCAGGATGAAGAAAAAAAAAAAAGTCCCGATTTGTAGTATTTGCTGATTTCTGTAGTGTAAATTCTCCCACCATGATGGATTTCAAGCTGCCAACAGTGAGTTCACTGTGCAGTTAGAGAAAAATGCACACAGTTGGCCCTCCCACCATTGTGATACCCAAAGAGGCGTCTCGATGTCAGTCAGGTGGCGGTTCCTAGGAGAGTTCCCATGGGTTTCTTTCTGAGACCAAGGACATATATTTGATTGAGCAAGAAAACAACAGTTCAGGTCCAAAGAATGTAATTTAATGTGTTGCTAGGTGAAGTCCAAGGGTTTTCTGAAATTGCTATGTACTTTTAATAGAATACTTGTGTTTTAACATAACTGCGGCTTTGAAATTCCATCCTCCCAGGACAGTGCCCCTTTTCATCGTTTGCTTTTGCTGTGGCCC